TTTAATGGAAATATTACTCAAATGGTAGAGCTCCTCAAAGCCAAGAAATTGAATGTTATGGCTGAAATTCCTCCCAGCTGTCTGATATGCCCCTGTGTGGGAGCTCTAGGCCCATAGGCCTAATGGGTTTAGAATGGGACAGCTGTTACTTTTGAATTTGGGGGCTTTTGATGGTCATGCTACCCCTAGTCTCACTCAGATCTTTTATTAGTAGCCTTGCTTTCGGTAGAGCATGCACCAAATTCAGGGGGTCCACGTGGAAGGAGCACAAAAGTCCACGAGGAAAACTAGTGATGATCTGACATTTGCATTTGCCCTACACAGAAATTTAGGGGTTTCTGAATCAAGCTTAATGTTTACAGTTTCCGAATAGCCATCTTGCAGTGTATAGTTTCCTTATAAAACTGTCCCGCATTCAGTTTCCCATTATCTGCAAGCTCAAACTTATTTTTAAGGTTTGTGTACAAGTCAACTGCTGTAAAGATATATATTTTTGGGTCAGTCTTTTTCCTTCATTAACTTGGTGGTAGAAAAATATATATACTTAGCAATCCTTAAATTAAAGCCATGTTTTATATATAAGTCAGGTAACATTGGTGTATAGATGAGAATGCAATGAAACCTGATGAGAATCTACCTGAGGAGAGTCTAGAAAGTCTCTTTCTCTAAAGGAGATACTTACTTCCTGGTTTATTGCATTAAAATTTATGTTTGAGGTTACCTCAACTTGTTTTAAAAGATTTTGTTTTGTGAATTTGTACTGTATATTTGAGTAACTGTCAAGCTTTTGTTTTATTTAAAATTGTTTAACATGTACCATGTACATGTCATTACTATATTTCAATGCATCATGCTTGTAACAGGCATTTCATTTATAATAAGAATGAGTTATTCATTTGTAAGCCGTTCAGTAATTTATCTACTATTCCTAAATTGGCATAATGTTAGATATCTATTTTGAATCACCTTTAATTACATGTCGGAATGCCTTAACTACCCTAACTTGATGAAACAATTTTTTGGTAGAGGAGATGGGGGGTGGAGGGAGACTGTTTAAATAATGAGAACCTGTTGTGCTGTGATAAAACACGGAAGCCAGTGTGGCAAGTGGCGGGGTATTTATTTTGCACAAACTATTTGCAGTCTCTGTGTTTAAAAAGTAAAGAAAGTTGCATCCAGAAGGGTATTGCTGGAAGGAATACATTTATACTTGGGCTGACGTTAGTTCTTTTATTGGATTTTTAATTATTTCTGGTCAGAGGTATGTAGCCTATGATCTGGATGTATTTTGCATTAATTTTCCAATGCCTACATTTGATTCCTGGTAGAGCAGTGCTGGTTAAGTCACTAGCTTTTCTCTGCTCTCATTTAACCCATCAAACACAATCTTTGTAAAGCTAAATTGTGGCGTTTTAACACAACTCTTTTAACAACTCATCTTTTTTGAGAAATAATTGTTAGAAATCGACAGTATGTTTGTTCCAGTGACGTTGAAATTAGTGGGACAAGAATTGAGTTTCACAGTGGGACTAACTTTGGACCTGGCCTGTAAATTTAGTGATATAAAATATTTTCTCTTTTCCCTGTCCTTTTTGTGTTATGCACTTAATTTTATGACTGCCGGTGGTCAGTTGGAGTGCTGCTTATCAAGTCACTCTCCTCCCACTCTCAGTGGTCAGAGGCTGTGTTGGACCCATGCTGGAATTTTCCAGATCGCAGGACCCAAGTCCCTGTGGGGTATGACTGGGATATACCACTTGGTGATTCTGAACTTGATGTGTGTGTTAATTGTATTTAAAATCAAGCAGTATAAAACAATAACAACACACACACTTGCCTCATGTAATGGATTTTTATATAACAAAAGAGAATTTGGATTTCTAATTTACAAATGGCAAATTGTTTATCCCTCTCTGGATGCACCAAAGACCAGTAAAGTTTATAGCTTTTCCATCTATATTTATAAAGCAATACTGTATTATAAAAAAATCAATATTTTTATCACATGCTTGAAATTTTTATTTTGTTCTGTTTTAAAATGTGCACTCTAAACATATCAGAACCTTATTTCTTCCTGTGAACTTAAGCTGCCTGCGCACAAAAATAATTTACCGAACGGATATGCAGTAGAGCCCATGGGCTTTTAAAAACTGAAAGAAGAAATGAGGGAGAAAAACAGGTTATTTGTCCTGAATTACTGTACTGGCTTGACATGGTCGATGGGTACTAAGTCACAAAAGAATCCATTCCAGGTGTGCATGTCTGGGGGTCGGGCTGCGTCTAGATTAGCAACTAGATTTCAAGCTTTGCATGATGGGAGTGCCTCCCGTCAGCTGCATTTGTTCTGGACAGAACAGTAGCCTTCAGTACCACCTTCAGTACCGCCAGCCTACCACGTCGAGTAACAAGGCAGGAATGTGGGAATTTACTGAGTCAGTTGGGAGCATTTTGGAGATTGTAAACAGGATTGACTAGAACTATAAGTGTCTGTACTTGGGAATAAGTTCTTGGTTCCTTGTCACCTTATACCAACTATCTTTGGTAGAAGCTACAGCATCCAATTTCCCTGGAAACGATCACATTTTTGCATTTAACAAATTTTATAATATCAAAAACAAAAAACCAAAATCTGCTTATAAAACTGAAAATATGAAGCAAAAAACATTTGGATTTTATTCATAAAAAATCAAATTCTTTGTAAAATTGAACTTCTCAACTAAAAATTGACAGTGTCCATGTCAAACTTTTAACTGTTAGCAGGTAGTTTGTGGCGAAGATGGCTAAGTAGTGAAGCAGGTTGGAACTTCTGTATGCTAACGAGCCGCTCTTTTCTGTTGAGACTATCATTATGTGTCTTACCCAAGAGGCAATGACCTGAATTGGATGTCTGAAATATAACTTATGCAGGAATAGTTCTGTAAATACATTTAAATAAACTGTAAAGATATTTAATAAATATAGTATTTATACTAATCTGTGTACTTCTCTTAATTGGAACAGTAACAGATAAGACGCCAGCCCCTGACATTGAGTTTGTTGGTCTCCATCAAGTCCTCCTTTCCAAGGCTCTTAGTCTCGCGGTGACTCTGTACTTCGTAGCTTTTTATTTTGTCTTTTACTAGCTCACCTGCCTTAGCTCTTTTTCACCAGCTGGTTTACTACATCAGTTTAGCTTCCTGAAAAATTCATCAGCGTGGACTGATAACTGAATGTAAAATACACATGGTTTCCTAACTGAGAAGGCTTCTGCATCTTCCACATGGGGTGGAGTGAAGCGCAGAGGAATCTGGTGTCATTTAAATTTAGCATTCTGTATCCAAATTCTAAAATCCAAGTTAAGGACAGTGTGACAGTCTTTTACGGGCTAGTGCTGCGTCCAGGCCGTTGCTGATGATGCCTCCACAGCCTAAGCCCCCTGCCCATTTCCGTGAGCGAACCAGAAACTCCTCCTCGGCAGGGCGACCCACAGTTCCTCGCGTAGGAGTGTTCTCTGTGGTCAGCTGCGTTTGTCAGGGATCCATGAAATTGTCAGTCGCCAGTGTAAGCGTAAGATACGTACATTTTTAGCCTTCCTGTGAAAGACAGCTTGAAGTTATGTGGGCTTCACCAGTTTCCACAAAAAGCTGGTGCAAGCCCATTTCCATTCACCGAGGAGTGTTTCGGGCTGAACCTGAGTTTTTATTAGGAATTGTGGGTAGCTCTGACTCATTACTGAGCTGCAAGAGCCAGATTCATTCTGGTTTAGTTAGAAGTCTGTTCACAGTTCTAAAGTTGACTGATCCACACACCCTTTGTTTATCCTTCACAAAATCTAAAGTACAACTTTGCCACATAACATTTCCCTGGGATTTGATGGTTTCACAAAGACTTAACAGTAAGATGTTATAAAAGTCTAGTTTGTCAGGTTATAATTGACTATAAACAGGTTTGGGGGAGGGAGAGGCTTGCATCATTAGATATTACATAACAATGCTTTTGTGCCAGATTTTTTGGTCTATGCAGGTAACAAGCTAATTCTTAAAGGGGCCAAGAACAGACGTCCTCCACCTCACTCCACTCCAGACCCAGGCTGTCTTGACAGTGGAGGTAAGTGCTCTATGTCAGATAATACAGAAATAATTTTTTGGCATTACTTCCATTAAATTATTTTTTGTATCACACTGCAGAAAATCACATCTGAAAATCAGGATAATTTAAAGCTATCAAAATTTTACACTATATAAAACGACTCCAAAGTGAGGGGGAGTAGCTATATTTTTATTCTTGACCTCCCCCCCCCGGGATTAATTTTCCTTAAAATCTTAACAAAATATAAAAAGCAATGGGCAAAAGGTCGTGGCATTACATGAGGAAAGGCTGCATAACTTTCTACTGTCTCAAAGCACCAGAACTCAGATGTTTGCCATGGTGCACAGATGCCCGACTAGTCACAGAGCTCGACAAGCAGTACTGATGGCTCCAAATGGCTGCTGAAGGAAGTTCAGGTGCCTTTTAAAACTGGCAAAGAAAATGCTACAGCTCTGGTGGGAGCGTGCGTTGAGTTTAAGAATTCCAACGAGCCCGGCCGGGCGTGGTGCAGCGGTTGAGCGTCGACCTAGGATCCAGGAGATCGGGGTTCGATTCCCGGTCAGGGCACATGCCCAGGTTGCGGGCTCAATCTCCAATGACTCTCATCATTGGTGTTTCTCTCTCTCTCCCTCTCCTTTCTTCTCTCTGAAATCAAGAAAGATATTAAAAAAAAAATTTAAAAAAGAATTCTAACGAGCCTCTTCCCTGCACAGAAAACTCTCCTGCCTCCCAAGCCGTATAACGGATTTAAAGCAAATTACGTGCACTTGACAAGCAGCTATTCCTAGGTATGGCTGTGGCAGGAGATGATTGTGTTTGGGAAGCAGAAGCCCATCCTGGATTTCAGGGGAGTCCAAGACGATGTAAGTGTGGAGCGTGTTCGGGGCGTGAGTCAGTAAATGGGGCGGGGGCAGCTCGGCTGTCATTAAATGTTAGAATATGGAAGGGCTGCCATAGCTCATGTCCTCTTCACTGTCACTTCCTGTTGCCAGGCTGTCGAGAACGTTGTCGCAGGGTTCTTGCTGGCTGGAGGAAACTGCTCCAAAGAACATGCTAGAAAACTGGCGGGAGGAAAGTAATGCGCTGTTTATTCAAAGCAAAAGTCCTCAGTAAGCGTCCCGGGAGCAGCCCCTTTTAGAACTTGGCAGCGTGGTCTCCCTAACCTCGACGGGACGGTTCCTGGAACACCAGAGGCTTCTCCACTGGGACCGGCCATTCTCTAAAACACACCCTTCCCCAAAGGCACACAGTTTGGGATCCGTGAGTAATCTGCCTCTGACTCCTGCCTGAGCCATCTGAACTGACACCAGGGCTGTGACAGAAGCTGCCACTCCCAGCTAAGCCCCCCCTCTCCCCCCACTGCCTCGTGGCCCGTCCCATGCCTCCGCTCACTGGACAGGAATGCCAGCATTGTAGAGGGATGCCTCTCGTCTTTAAAATCCATAAAAAGCGCCCCCGCTTTGCCCCTGCTGCAGTTGTCCACACTTGGTGTCCCCATTTTCTTACTCTCCCATCCAGTCCCATCTAAAAGCTCCTGACCCCCCCTCACAGAAACCCTTCTTATGGTCACCAGAAACCGCCACATCCTTCAGCCAGTGGCCATCTTCAGTCTTCACCCCCCTCGCTCCTTAGACACTTTCTTCTCGTACCGGCCTCATGCCACGTCCTGGTCGCTCCCAGGCGCAGCCGGCCTGCCTTCTACGCAGCCTTTGAGTGGGTTTCTCAGCCTCAGCACTGTTGCCATTTGGGGCCTGGTGCTCTGTGGCGGGGGCCGTCCTGTGCGTTGGAGGATGCTGAGCAGCAACCCTGGCCTCTACCCACTAGATGCCAGTAGCATCGCCCCTTCCCAACTTGTGACATCCAGAGTGTCTCCAGGCGTTACCCAATGCCCCCTGGGGGCGTAACAGCCCTGGTTAAGAAGCACCGCCGTAAGTGGCGGTCCTCTCCCAGATTTCCTTCACACCCCAGCTGAAATTACCATCTATATGCCGAGGAGTCTCAGGCTAGAATTTGGACCTCAGTCCACACACCCTACTACCTACTTGATTTCTGCATCTGACATACCCAAAGCCGAGTACCTGATCTTGGCGAGCACTGAACCTGCTTCTCCAAACCTAAGTCATCCTCGGTGCCTCCCTTCCCCTTAACCCCCATGACCAACCCATCACCAGGTTCTGCTACTTTTACCTCCTCAATTCGCTGTCTACTTCGGCCACTTTCTCTATCTCTAAGGAATCACCATCTCATCTCCTGGATGCTACGGCTGAGCTTCCATTTTTGTCTCTTTGCTCACCATTCACATAGTAGCTGCGGCTAAAGTTATCTTTTAAAAATTCAACTCTGTCAGGTACTTCATATGGTTGTCTGAATGGCCCACAGGGCTCTTCTGGCACAATCTGGCACTCATCAATTGTTCTAGCTTCACCCTGTGCCACTGTTCCCCCCAGCCATCTGCTCTCTAACCACACTGGCCAGCCTTCAGTTCCTTAAAACCACCATGCTCTGTCCATCACAGGGCCTTTGCACGCGCCACATACCCACCCAACACTCCCCGCCCACTACCCAATTTTACTATCCTAAAAAGTGCTATACAGCTTAAGATAGTGACTTTAGAAACAATATTCCTCCTTCCAAATTTCTAATTCTAACTAAGAAACTCATACTTACAAATCAATAATAATAGCAATAGCAAAACAGGCTTGAATAAAATATTAATGTAAACATAAAATTGGAACAATCATTATTTGAGATACTTCTGTTTCTAATAAATTGTGTTTATCTTCAATTCAATAGATTTCATAAGGTTTAATGTTAGCATTCTGTGAAGCTTATCATCAATCTAGTAAAATGTTGGTATTTTGATATGTTATTAACTGTGACTCCACTATGAAGGAATTTGTGCTGTTTGGGGATAAAATTTATATTGTACCACTATGAATAAAGATTTTCCAAACAGATTTGAAAAATAAATTAGAAGAACATTTATTTTAGAAAACAAATTATGTGACTAGCATATTATTTGTATTCAAAGGTAAGTGTGCTATAAGTGATCATAATTTATGTGACCCAAATCTCTACCTGAATATACTTTGTTAGAAATTACTCAGATGAAGGGATTAAGAAAACAAAACAAAACACCATAGAAAAAGGAGGTTACTCTGAGCAATTTCACTATTTCGTATTAACATTCTATAAATCAGCCTTCTCTCCGTCTGACTCGCTCCTCTCCTGTCGAAAAGCGAGGGACTTAACTTCAGGGCGTGGGGGCTGCAAGGGGGAGGAGGCTGGGAATCCCCCCTGGGGCGGACACGGCTCAGCGCTGTCCTTTTACCTTCCTGAGATGTGGTGACCCCGGCTCTTCCTCCGTGTTGCCGACACTGTTTTCGGTTACTTCACCAATGTCAATGTCTCCGTTCACTCTTTTCATTGTGGGACTGGCGTTGGTGGGAGTCCCCCCAGGGTAAAGCCTTTTGGGTGCTACTCTTCTCGCGATGGCCTCCATGGCCTTGCTCTCTTTTTTACCAGCCTCTGAATTTGAACATATCAGATCTGACCTGAGGTATTAACAGGGATTAAATGAATGGACTGTTTACTTTGAAATACATATTTTTATATAACTAATGGAGCAATATGGGATGACAGTAACACCGGTTTAGGGAATATGCTGAAGTAATATGGAGCCAGCTGTTTTCAGAGGTAAGATTTACATGTATGATTACTGAGAAATTCTCTCTACAGATCTGAATTTTCCAGTAAACAACCTAATGTGCATGAGGCGATCTTGTGGTATGGAAATTGGACCAAGTTAGGAAAAAAGTCAAGTAAATTACTATGTATCTATATAACAAAATTTACAGAAGTCTTAAAAATCACGGTTCCATGTCATAATCAGTGATATTGGAACATGTTCATAATATAATATTTTTTGGGGAAGAGCAGGATATAAAACTGTACATGCTAATAAAAAGTGGGAAAGGAAACATGATGAGCCAAACAGTAACAATGGCTGTCTCCAGCAGTACAATTGTGGGCCATGTTCATTTTCTTCTTTGTACTTTTCTGTATTTTCCAAATTTCCCATAGTAACCTTATGTTACTTTTACAGTTGAAGCACCCCCCACCACCACCAAAAGAAAATTAAGAGACAAAAGAAAAAAAGAAAGACAATGGCTGTCCCTATGTCTGAGAAAGAGAGTTCTAGCTATGAATACTTTCCTGTGAACCTTACTTAACACTATAACCACTCCTAAAAAGCAACTATTATAAATGGAAATGAGTTTGGGGTAATAAAGATAAGTCAAAGAGTCTTGTTAAATTCTGATCAGAAGAGAAAAGGCAAATATCTAGGGCAAGATTGGTGATATTTCTATGTTACAGGCAGGTCTTACTATAGCTCCTCCTGATTCTGTCAACATTTCTGATCTAATGTTTTTCTTCTCAGTTGTTTCCTGAATGAATGCCACTGAATTATTTCAGAATAAACTGCAATGGCTTTTTCCCAAACAACAAAGATATTAAGACATGGCCATACCCTTTTTGTTTCTGTGAAAGACACAGTGATTGCGGAGAAGATGCTCTACTTGGCTCATCAGCTAATGTAGCCAAAATGAAGTTAGCTTCCAACAACATATCATCAATACTTAAAGCCATAGGTCTAAAAAGGCAAAGTCAGAACAAACATCACAATCATTTTCTGATGGACATTGGGAAAACACGAGAAAATTCTAATTCAGGAGTAAAATGAAACAGAAAAGTAGAAGTCCTTTTAGTCTTCTCATAAATTAACACAGTTCTAAAAGCTGAACTCATCAGATCTAATTACATAAAACACATCTATCCAAACCCAGCCTCATTTGAAATTTCAGTTCTGAACTATCAAATAACCTATCAAAGTTTCACAGAGATTTAACTTGTTTAAGCCATGTATTATTTTTCTAATTAGGCAAGTTATTCATATAAAATTTATAAATGTTTTCACTCTGCAGAAGCATATATTTTTTTCAGTCAAGTTACCAATTAAAAAACACCATGTTATGGCATCTTTCAAAATTTTAGTTGGTAACTGTTGCTAGTAAGGTTAAGGAATTCCTGAGGTGTGGATGAATTTCAAAATGAGTCACAGAGGTTTATTATTATATAACAAAAAGAAAAAGAAACAAACTCAGAAAAGTTCCCAAGGACCTACTTGCCAGGAAAATCAAAATGCATGGATATAGGAGCATGTGTAGCTTCCGAAAATATCAGCATTCCCTGAAAGGAAAAAAAGAGAAAAAAAGTGAAATCTTTCTTAAAAAACTACCAATGGAAATTTTAATTTGGTACAAATTTTTCTTTACCTTCAATTCTTTGAAGCAAAATGTTATTTCAGTGTCAACTCCAATTTGAAAGAAGTCAAATTCATCTGGACCCACAAACATCTCACTGTATACAGAACTGTTCAAATCTGTTCAATATTGTAGAAAAATAAAGAGTAAAATTAGTTCCAGAGGTATTTGTTAAGTTTTAGTATAAAAGTATAACCTAACCGGTAGGCTAAGCACAGCCATAGTTCTCTGACATCCTTGGTTGAGAGGCGGGCTCTGTGTCTACGCCCCTCTCCTAGAACCTGGGTGGGCGGTCTCTGCCTGCTTTGACCAATAGGACACAGGGAAGTGACCTGGTCCTGGTTTCTGGGACTAGGCCTTTAAGGACTAGTAGTTTCCAAATCTATCCTCTATCCACTTCCTCTATCCTGCAGCACCTGCTCCTGAGTCACCATGCTGACTTCATGCTATTCATACATGAAGAGGCTACATATGTGCAGGTGCCCTGGGTGACAATCCAGCTGAGCTCCCAGCATCAGTTACCAGCCATGCAGTGTCTGTCCAAACCCCTTGCCTGTTTTTACTTGTGTTTTCCACTACAAATTAGCTTCATAAGTATCTCTCATGTACACTCAGAGAGCAAGGAGTGTGTATACACACATACGAGATTACTTTTAATAGCTTCACAGTATTTCATTACTCTCACTCAACTCATTTCCTGTTGTTAGATCTGAAGTATAGAAGCAGGTTTTAAAAGTGCTCGAATCTGGGTAGTGGGATTTCAGGTGACTTTTTTTTATTAGTGTTTTTAAAAAATTATTTTCTTCGCCTGGCCGGTGTCGCTTAGCGATTGGGCATCAACGTAGGATCCAGGAGATCGAGGTTCGATTCCCAGTCAGGGCCCAGGCCCAGGTTGTGGGCTCGATCCCCATTAGGGGGTGTGCAGGAGGCAGCCAATTGATGACTCTCATTGATGTTTCTCTCTCTCTCCCTCTCCCTTCCTCTCTCTGAAATCAATAAAGATATATATTTTTTAAAAACTATTTTCTTCAATAAACATAAATTATGTAAGTATAAGAACAAAGGATAAATGGTATACATTTTTTTAAAGGACCAGACAATGCCTTACAAATACATGCATCTTAAACAAGAAGGCTCATGTCACTCCCAGGATGCCAGCAGAGAGTAAGTTCAATAATAAAATTAAACTGAGTCTCCAAACATAACTATAACTACTCATTAGAAAGTTGTTCATGAAGGACAGTGTCTCCTGGTTATTAAATGGCCATCTTTATTCAGAGATGGCATTATGGAATATAAAACAGACCCCTTTACTAGTCAGGCGTGTATTTTCCAGATCATGCACTCCTCAGTAGATGAGCTTTGAGAGAGGCAGTAATAGCACAAAGGTAATGAGCTTGAACCCTGTACTCAGATCATAATCCACCACTAACTGTGTGACACCAGAGAAGTCACTTACTTTCTCTGTGCTTCATATCCTTCAGATGGAAACTGGGATCATAATAGTACCTACATCACAGACTTGTCATGAAGATCAAATGAATTTGGAAATGAAAACCACTTAGAACAGAACCTGGCACAAACTAAACACTACAAAAGTCATCTGACCAACTTAATCCTTGGTTCTATTGATTTTTCACTTTAAAATAATACAGGTCCTCCCTTTCTATTCTTCCTTTACCGCTATCACTAAAAAAAAAAAAAAAATTATCTGAGGTCAAAGAGTCTTAAACAACATATGTCAAAAAGACCCAAGTAAATTTTCTTGATCCAAGAACTCCTGATTTAAGCATGCCTTCGTTTCTCCATTCCATCTAGGTAACTCTTAGACGAGCTGACTTAAGAATATTCACATTTTCTGCCCTATATATTTGCTGCCTGGAATATAGGCAAAGGTCATCTCAATTGGATTGCTGGCCTCTTAATTTTTCTTTATGCTAAACACAAAATAAGATAAAGGATGAGAAAGAGACTTTAAGATCTTGACTTTAAAAATATTTTTCTCAGTAACCATTCTCCTAATTTTAAAACAACTGGAATTTCAAAGCCAAGTATTTTAATTACTGATTGTGTAAATTTCCTGGGTCTCTTAAAATTTTTAATGATCTTTCTACATCTTACTGCTTTTTAGACAAAAGTAAATATTATGCCACTAATATTTACTGGTTAGTCATCAAACCAGGAAGTGATACTACATTAAAGCACCATGGCAGGTATAATTCTTACCCATTGATTCCTCATTAGAACTCTTAATGCAAACTTCCAGTGGAGTAACAGCGAGAGTAACTTCCTCTTGACTTGACGTGAAAAGAACAACTGCCTCAGCAAGCACTCTGGGAAATGTAATAAAAAATTTACATTATTTGAAAAACAGAAAGGAACAGCTTTCTAATGAGACTCAAATCTTTAACCTAGAAATAAATGTTGGCCTGGATTTAGAAAAATTTACCCAAAAGACTTTACCTTCTTTCTTCTATGTGAGTTGCTATATTTTAGTATATTTTAAAATTGTAACTTCATTTAAAGGCCAAGAGGATAATAAAATATATTCTTAGTAAAACGTGAAAAATGTAGGATAAACCAAACACTAGAATAAAATGTCTTTCATTCCTTTTTTATGTAACAAATATATATTTTAATTGGCCTACGATCATACTCCTAAGGGAGAGAGTAGGAAAACAGCTGTGCTGATAAACTAGGGTGAACTATGCCGGGAACCAGGCTGAGTGGTGGAGGTTTACCAGCAGCCTGCTGCCCATATTCTCTTGCCCTTTGTTACTTGTCCTGGATTAACTATTACTTTCAAGGTTGTCTTGACATCCCAAGTGCCCTTTCATCCTGTGCTCTCCATTTAAAAACAACTTTATTAATATATAATTCACCTACTACACAATTAACAGATTTCAAGTTGATTTGTATTTCATGAGATGAAACAGGTTGAAAATCGCCAATCTATTATCTTTATCAAGGTTTCTTCTTGATCCTGTACGATTATTTCTCCAGGTATAGTGTTAGTTTAAAAACATATATATAACTGATTTAAAAACTCTAGGACATTAATCTTTAATCTGTAACCATACTATATTCAGAAAAATTTAAAAAAACAACAGAGCACTCATTACCTTGGCTGAATCATCAGTGTATTAGTACACATATTCTTTTCAAAAATAACTTGCAAAGGCTGACTTTCTTGAAAACACACATTATGAGTCCTTTTGATACCTTAAAAAGAATACAGCAACCTGTTAATTTTGCTTTATTAAAATAACACAAGTTAAAATAACACAAGTAAAGTTACATTTAATCCCTGGCAGGTGCACGTAGCGTGGGGCAGCACTATTCCTTGCTGTGTTTGTCGCCCCCTAGTGGGCACCGGGCAGCATGGCTGACCCTCCCACCAGCAGGCAATAGAGTTCCCACATCTGAGACACAGGTCTGTTCTTCAACTGAGTGTAAGACAGCGGTTGCCCGCACAGCTCAGATGCCGATGGCTCGGTATCTGTCATACGGCACTGATAGGGCCGAATGGGACCTCTGGAGTATAAAGCTGTGGGTTCTTTTCCTCTGAGAGGAGGGGAGAAGCATGGGGCAATAACGGCTATGGCCCTGCGTGCCAGGAACTGCGGTATACGTTTTACACACATTGCCTCTGACCACACAATATCCCTGCAGGGTCGGTACTTAATCTCAGAAGAGGAAACAATGGCTCAGCGAGGCTAAGAGACTTTCAAGGCTATGCTTTTCTAACGAACGAGTACAGCAGGTCCTCGAATGATGCTGTTTCATTCACAGTCATTTCATTATAACGATGAGATGCCGTTCAACCTTAAATCTTGTTTATACAATCAGCCTATGGTAAAATTGGTTTTATTATATGTTTTTCGCCTCCCAAAGACATTACGTGGGGACTTACTGTACAGTTAGAATCTGAACCTAAGTTTGAATAGAGAGCCCATGCAATGAAATCCAGGTGGGCTGTAACTCTTTACAGCAGAATAATGTCGCAGTGTGAGTCAAAAGGTCTCACTAGAGACAACATTTCTCAACTTATTTTTTTTTACTTAAGTAATTTCAGCAGCATTTATTAATTTCATAAATATTTACTGAGTACATATTACCAAAAAAAATCGGACCAATATCACAAGTACAAGATTTTTTAAATTTTTATTGATTGATTTTTTAGAGAGAGACAGAGGGAGAAGGAGGGAGGGAGGGAGGGAGAGAGAGAGATTTGTTTTTCTACTTATTGATGCATCATTGGTTGATTCTTGTATGTGCCCTGACTGGGGATCCAACCCACAACCTTAGCTTATCAAGAAGATGCTCTAACCAACTGAGCTACCTAGCCAGGGCCCAGGCATTCTTTTAAACAGTTTAGAATTATAGCTTCCTAGAACTCACTGTATCTTTACAAAAACCCTAGGAGGCTGGTACTAACATTATTCCCAATTAAGATATTGGGAAACTGATACACAGAGATATAAAATAATTTGCCCAAGGTCTCAGCAAGGAAGGGGCAGAGCAGGATTCCACCCTAGACCTTAGGCCTCCAGAGCCCATGCTGTTAATCACCAGGCTATCCATATTTAAGCATGTAAAAGTCCTATGAGTACAACATTTGAATATTGACTGTGCAAGGCCGGGAGGCAGGACATCAGTTTTACAGCTTGGTGTGGCAGAGAGAATGAAGAAAAGTTTTGGCTCCTACTGTTGTGGGGCAGGACTCAAATCCAGGCTCTGCGACTTACTAGGTCTGTGACCTTGGGCCAATTACCACGCTTCTTTCAGCCCCAGATATAATACTATCTGCCTAGAGGGATTTTTTTTTTTTTCTGCTCTTACCAAGGAACACTGTTACCAAGGCACTCTTGCAGAATATCAAGCAGCCAGTTAATTTGAGAACCACCAATTGTTTAAATTAAAAATTGGTTTTCTTGCAGGCAAAGCTTGTGTCACTGACAAGTAAAAAAGGGAAATAATGCCAATCATCTCTCAATACATCTAGAGAGACAAGTAAGATTATACTTTTCAAGTACTTACGACTGCGCTACCACAAAACTATACAAATTCTACGCAGCAATGCAATGGGAACTCTTGATGTGCGGTTTGAATATCCTTAACATGAAAAAATATTAACAAAAAAACACATAATACAGTAAAGTAGTTTTAATTGTACCTACCGTGTCTGCAGAAGAATTGAAAGACTACTTTGCACTTATCAGATCTGGTGAATATTTTGCACAGCTCCACATTTCTTTCCAGGGAATTCAGACATCTAAAGATGGGCAGAATTGACTGCAATACAAATAGGTTATAAAACAGCATATACTCAGTATGGTTGTTTAATCAGTTTAAAAACTAACAAAAGAAGAGTATGTATATTCATAAGTGAATAGGTTTGTCCTGCATGCCATTTAAACCAAGTATTAAGTACAGAACAGACGTTATGTCTTATATACATAAGACGTTATGTCTTATATACATATAAGACGTTATGTCTTATATGTCTTATATTTCCACAATGTAAGAGAAAACCAGGGCCACTTATGTTTACCTTCATTCCCAGTTTGCAATTTAAATTTGCCTTTGTGTTGTCATCAGTCATTCCCACGGAGGTGGACCACTGGTAATGTTGGAAAAACAGGGGAGAGAAGACAACGCAGCCGTACGCTGACCGGCAAGAATTCACAGCCCTCAGAGCAAGCTGCAAAACAAAACCGCAGCTGTTCGGGAAAATCAGACTTCAAGTGATTAATTCTAAAAATTCTATCTTGTTTACCACAGCCAAGTGTTAGTAACTTATGTGTGCCATGAGGTTGAAAATCACTGCTCTAAAGGTATTCGGATATGTGCAATAAAGGTGAACAGTGACAAGGGCGGTTGCAATTCCTGGATTTCCTGGTTAACATACAATCTGGGCTGGAATCTTAAACTTCTTTTGTCTTAATAGGTGGTCTATGAGTTAACTTTTTTTTAATATGTCTTTATTGACTTCAGAGAGAGGAAGGGAGAGGGGGAGAGAGAGAAAGAGAAATACCAATGATGAGTCATTGATTGCCTCCTGCACGCCCCCTACTGGGGATCGAGCCCGCAACCCCGGCATGTGCCCTGACATCCGGGAATCGAGCCTCAATCTCCTGGGTGGTAGGTCGATGCTCAGCCGCTGAGCCACCACGGCTGGGCTGAGTTAACTTTCTTACTTACACCTTTATCAGACGGGTCCAGCCACAGCTCGTCACTAATCCGTGATAGGGCCTGGATTGCTTTCCCAAACACTACGAAGAAAAAGGAGCTGCTTACATTTCTTCCTTTCAAACAATAAAAACAAATCATAGGACTACTTCAGCATTCACAAGCACTTAAACTCATGAACAGTGCTTACAGACTAGTACTACAAATTGCTTTAAGAAATATAGTATGATACCCTCGGCAAAATGCCAGACTCATAGTGGGAGTTCAATAAATTCGATGAATGACTGTGTGAAATAACATGCAACAAAATTCTTCCCGTGTGTTTGCAGTGCTGCATGGAGCGACTGTGGCAAACCAAGAGCCCTCCTAATGTGTTCTAAAACTTGTACCCCGCCCCCCGGGAAAAAAGTGTAAAAACGAAGAACAGACTGGGTGATTTGAAGGGTTTTAATAACTTGACTGGTGGCAAAGTCAAAACACGTCATGAGAAATTAGAGGCACGCGAGGTGCATCTCTGATGCGGGAGGGCTGCATGACAGATGCCCAGTCTTCCCACCAAACACACTTAGACGTCCCTTCAGAAAGAGCGGCCAGGGCGGGACGACATGCTGGCCCGATCCGGCATGACAGTGTTCTTGCGAGTTACAAATAAGTAAACAATGCGGCAAGCAGATACGGAATACTACGCTGCCACAGACACAGGCGGCCGTATCAAGTTATGGAAAGGTAGGGAAAAAAGGGAGACTAATCCTAGGACATACAACCAGATGATAAGGCTTCCGAATCCTAAGTATTGCGAGTTGGGAGTGAGGACCTCGAACTGAGAAAGGCCGGACGACAGGGCGGGACGGGGGTGCGATGGAGGCCTCTGCCCCTTCTGGCCACTTGTCGGTCGCCCCTGTCCCCCGGCGCTGCCTCCCGCGGGCCTCCCATGCATCCGGTGGATATTTACAGAGCACCTCCTATGATCCAAATGCAACCCCAAGGCCACGCGGGGGTAGAGCCATGAGCAATGCACGTGCAGTGCTTCCAGTCCAATAAAATCAGTCATAGAAATAACTGCTTGTTAAGCATTGAGGGAGGGCCAGCCCCGGGGCAAGGTGGCTCCACGGGTTGGCGCGTCCCCCTGGACACCAAAAATTCCCTCCGTTCCCCGTCAGGGCACATGCCCAGGTCGCGGGTTGGATCCCCTGGTTGGGGCGAGTACCAGAGGCAACTGACTGAGGTTTCTCTCAAAATAAAAATAAATCCATAAACATATCCTTGGGGGAAGATTAAAAATTTCAAAAAATTTAAATAGAGGTATACACTGCAAAAGAGGACTCCCTGACGCTGTCCCACAGGAGCTCTCTGCACCGGAAGCCGGCCGCCTCTCCAGGCCCACTTCCGGGCGGCGGCCTGCGGGGAACCCCTGCCCTTCCGCACGGGCTTTCCGGCGGCGTCCACGCCCCGCCCCACCCCCGCCGCCGTCGTTAACACCGCGCCCGCGCCGCCCCACTTCTGAGCTCCTCACGCGTGTCCGGTTCCTCCCTATGACTAGGGCGCCGCGGGTCACCTTGCTCGTGAGGCCGCCCTGAGCCCCAGGGTGACTCCGGGGCTTGGCCCAGGTCATAAATTTTAAACCGGTAGGATCTAAAATAAAAAAAAAAAACACCTGGCTTATATTTTCCTTGTGACACTGAAACTTAACTGTCCTAGCATTATTATTACTATTTTTTTGTCCCCACGCAGTACCACCCCGATTTTGAGGCCCGCACTCCTGAAATCTCCGTCCCGATGGCACAGCTTCAATTGCACAGACACCTATGAGAATAAATATTATGCCCAAGTCAAAGCACGTGGGCCTTTGCCCTCCCCTCTGAAGCCGACAGGGCAATGGCGGGGGCGGGGGGGCGCTGGTTGTGGCCGGGCAAAGAGGACCCTGGTGGAGCGCGCCGGTGAACCCGGGGCTTTCCCTTCTTTCCCGCCCCCGCACAAAGGGAACAAAGGCCTCTCCACCTTTAACCTGACTGCCGCTCATCCCGCACTTCAGCATGGCTGCGGGCCTAACACGCGGGCTCGCGAGGCGCGCCTCAACTCGACGCCCCAGGTTCCCGGATGTTGCCCGCGCTTTTAGAAACTTCGAGATTTCCCCCCTCCCCACCCCTTCCACGCTATCGCCGGAAGCTGCTTCGCTTTAGGCGGGAAAGGGCCTCTGCGGGCCACCGTAGAGCGGTCTCCCTGGGTCTCGTTTTTCATTGGCTGAGAGCAAAGTGGGAGGGCCTCCGAGGAGTCTGAGGAAGAGGGCGGCGGCGGTGCTGGTGACTGAGCCGAGCCCAGTGACAGGATGGTGAGGATGGCAGCTGCGGTCACCGAGGCCTGGCTCTCGGCCGGGGTGCTGCGTCGTAGGGAGCCGCTGGGAGTCTCTGGGCGAGGGTTTGGGCGATCCCGGCTCCCCAGGGGTGGGCGCGGCCCAGGCCGGGCCTGGGGAAGGCCCAGGGGGAGGGTAAGGGAGCGGCCACTTCTGGATGCGGCCGGCTCTGGCCTCGCACCCCCGCCCCAGGGGCCGGAGGGCATCCGGGAGGGAAAGGGGCCCCTCTCAACTGCGGGTCCTGTCACGGGACGCACGCGCCCAAGCCGGGAGAGGCCTTTGGGCCTGTGCTCCGACCGTGCCCGAGAAAGGAGCGCGGTGCCCCGCGTCTCCACCTCCCGCCGGTTGCGGTGTTCGGGTGCAGAAACGGGAAGTGGCGAGCGGAATCCCTCGCCCGGTTGGGTTTGCGGTCTAGGGAAAGGGGATAAAAAACGATCCCTTTCGCTCCTGAAACGTTGCAGCTGCCATTGCACTGTGTGTGGTAGCGGGCTCTCAGAGGACTGCATTTTGGGCTCTTCGAATTGCTGGAACTGCTTGTTTACTTAGGATGCTGCGGCCTTTTGGAGTAGGATTCCTTAATGACCTGTGAACTCCGTGAAATCGTGTGGAAAAATTTGAGAATCTGTACGTTTTTCTGGGTTAAAGGGCCAGTGTTGGTGCTAGTGGGTAGTCTGGGGAGCTTTACTTTCAGTCATTCATGAGATCGCCCCAGGCTGCCACCAGGGCCGCGCATCACCCTCTCACCCCCAGGAGGCTGCTACCCCTAAGACCTTCCTACAAACACCTCTGAGAGCTGCTGCTGCCGAGGACTCATAGCTGTAATGTTTTCAAAGGCGCCCTTGGCCCCCGAAAAAGTAAAGAACCGTATCAAAAGGAGTTGATTCTCTTGGTATTTGTGTTGGTGAGGTTTAACTGTAAAGGAACTTTTCTTTTTGAGGGATATCCATTGCATTTTTAAGATTATCACTATTCGATGACAAACATAGCCTTCGAGGTGGCTTATAGACGTGACAAAGATTTATGGAAAATACTTCTTTATATAATGTAAAAAACCTTGATCTCACTTTTGATTTTTGCTTCTAAACAGACTCCAGTTTAGAGCAATTCGTTTTACCGTAATTTTGAGACAGTGATCCCTGGGAGAAGAAGAAATTTCTTGACATGTTTCTGAAGTTTATTTTGAGAGGTGAACACTTTTTTTTAGGGTAATTGTACTGGCACATCACTTTTCATGCCAAATAGAAAGAACTGGGCAAACTTTAGCATTAGCCCATCATTTTATGAGTAGAAGTATTTTATTTGGCAAAGGAGACTAGAAACATTCAACACTCAGAAGTATCCAGAAGTCTGCATGCAGCAGATTCAGGTGTGGGGAAGGTCCATTTTTATCTCGAACGATATGTTTTTCTCATCTTTATTTGGTGACTTCATCACTTGATAATGTATTCATAGTGCTGTGTTAGATCGTCTGTACAAAGTAACGACCAAACTGCAACATAGTTTTACAACTAGAATACAGAGAATTAAAATCAGTAGACTGAGGAATAATTAGGCCATAAGAATCTAGAACATGTTAGCTTTCATTTAAGCTATGACTGATGAAATTTCTAAACTCTCTTATAAAAATCTAAACAAACAGGTAATGAAAATGATGAGCGTCCATATGGAGATTAAGATTAGGAAAAGAAAAAATTGACGAAGTATGTGTGCATGCGTGTATGTGTCACGTTTAAAATACAGCAAATGCTTCTTTTGGTATTTTGAGCAAAGCTGATTTTTAACATTTTCTTTCATAACACTCAGAAATCATTAACAATTGTTTGCATATTCATTTGATATGTTTTTTTTGTTCTTTTTTTGGTTGGTTTCTTTTTGTTGCTTTCTTTTAACATTGGTCATGTTTCACCCTTTTTTTTCATTCCCCCTGTCTGCAATCAACTTCTTCATTCCACTAAGGCTGGGCACAGAGTAAGTTTCTTCTCTTAGCTCCTCCTAATAATGGTGGTTGGGTGTCTGATTACTTTTGTAGTCTACCAAGTAGGAAATAACCAAATCCTATGCTTTGATTGGGTTGGGTCTTTATTTGAATTTAACAAGACTGCCATTTCCAGGATCTTTTGCTGTCTTAAAAGACTCTATAATCCATGTCTAACCTGAACTGTCAAAGTGTGGAATTTGGACAAGGACACTCCTCA